TTCCCCAGACCTCAATCCCTCCCCATCTTTCGCTCTGTCTCTCTCTCTCTCATGTGTTTGTCCAGCTTCCCCATTCCATGTGTCTCTGTTATTTGCCTCCCCACTCCCCCCGGGAGTGAGTCCCCCATTCTCCCTCCCCCCCCACTCCCCACGGGAGCCAGTCCCCCATTCTCCCTCCCTGCAACTCGCCACAGGAGCCAGTCCCCAATCATCACCATAAATATATCTCTCCTGAATTCCCAATTGGATTTATTTTGGTTATGACAAAGGGCTCACCGGACTCGATTGTGTAAATTCTGTTTTCCTCTCCTGCTGTGTCTCTTGTTTTTGCTTTGGATTTATCAGTGACTGTCTTATATCGATAGCCCTTTAGTCTGGTGTCTCTTACAAATGGAAAAGTCTTCTCTACATCTGCCCTACTGAACATTCTCAAAAACCTGTCAGGTCATATTACACAGAGAGATAGTAAGAACTGCAGGTGCTGGAGTCTGAGATAACACAGTGTGAAGCTGGAGGAACACAGCAGGCCAGGCAGCATCAGAGGAGCTGACGTTTCGGGTCAGGACCCTATTACAGCCTTCTGCTTCCTACACGAGAAAGCCTGTTCCACCTATTCTGGTAGTTGTAACCTCTCCATTCTGGTGTCAACTTCATAAATCTTTGCACCTTTTCCAGTGCAGCTACATACAATGGGAAACCCAGAACTGTGCACCATACAGAGATCATACAACATGCTTAATTCCAATCCTTTACAAAGCTAACTGCTGCCCTCTAATGGCTATAGGAACACAAATAAAAGCTTATATGAAACTGTGCAAGGTGTCCAAGTTACTTTGTCTCCTCACCCAGGTCTCCGGTTTTTAGCTTTTAGCATTGGTAGCCCCCTTTGAGGACTGAGCAGGAACAGATTTGTGTTGCTATAGAACCCCTGTACAGGCATGAGAAGGCCCAAAGATGCCCCCATTACCTGAGAACACCACAGGGAGAAAGCAGGGGAATGGTGCACAGGAGATGGCAGAGGGGAGGTGCAGATATAACAACACAAATAGCTTCCCTTCTGTGCTGAGATGATTCTGAGAGGCATAGGAGCTTTTGAAGTGCAGACACTATGGTATCACCAGCAACCCAGTGGCTATTCATCAGCCTGTAAGCCATAGCTCACGTTGATGTTGTTGTATAGGACATTGATGAGGGAGTGCTGTGTCTACTTCTGGTCACCCTGCTATAAGCAGGATATTATTAAGCTGGAGAGGGCTCAGAGGAGATTTACCAGGATGTTGCCAGGTGTGGAAGGTCTGAGTTATAAGGAAAGGCTGGGACTTGTTTTCCACTGGAGCATAGGAGGTTGAGTGGCAACCTTATAAAGTTTATAAAATCATGAGGGGTATAGAGAGAGTTATCTTTCTCCCTACGATTGGGAATTTCAAGACTGGGGGGGGGGCACATTTTTAAGGTGAGAGGAAAGAGATTTTAAAAAAAAATTTGCCCCTCATTTTTTTTTAATATAGAGGGTGATTCACATGTGGAACAGTTACAATGTTTAAAAGCCATTTGTGGGTAAATACCTGAATAGGACATGGAACAGGAGCAGGCAGGTGGGACTAGTTTAGTTTGGGAATTTTGGTTGGCCTGGACTAGTTGGGCCGAAGGGTCTGCTTCCATGCTCTATTACTCTAGTACTCATCTGAGGTCTGGAGCACAATGCTGGGGAAATTGTACTCCAGTCACCTGGCGGTTTGGAACTTGAATCTTGAAAAGACAGAGAGACGGAGCGAGAGCGAGAGAGCGAGAGCTGTTCCTGAACCTTTTTTCTCATCAGGACCAATTGCAAGAATACCAAATTCCAAAGCATCACAACAGTTTGTCCTCTGGCAGTGTGAAGGTGCTGATCGGTTGCCAAGGTGACTCTGATTGGCCAGGCTGTTGACACAATTAAAGCAACGATCAAGCTTGCCACACGCCTTATTTACACTCAGTAGGAGCGACACACGTTTTATGCTTGGGGACGTGCTGTCTCCAAATGAAAGGGATACATTTGAGACTCAAACCTCTTTTTTGAACTACCCAGGAGCAACTACGCCCGGCAACTGCTTTGACCAATTGGAATCAACTCGCCAACCCATCAGGAGACAGAAAAGGACTGCAGATGCTGGAAGCTAGAGTCAAAACAAAAATGTGGAACTGGAAAAGTACAGCAGGTCAGACAGCATCCGAGGAGCAGGAAAGTCAACGCTCCATGTTCTTCAGAGCCTGAAGAAGGGTTCTGACCCGAAACGTTGAGTTTCTTGCAATGTCTGACCTGCTGTGCTTTTCCAGCTCCACATTTTTTTGGTGTCAAACAATCAGCACCCAGCCGTGGCATAAATTGTTGTGATCGTCTGAAACCTAGAATTCTTGCAATTTCAGCCTGAGCTTTCAGTAAGATTCAAAAGCCAGCGAGAGCAGGAAAAGCCAAACACACGAAAGGAATCCTTCAAGTGCATAAGCAAAGGAGTTTGGAAATGCAAAAAAGGTAAACAGGAAACACTGGGAGCACTCAGCAGGCCAGCGAGCATCTGGGAATTTTGAGGTCACAGCCCCGAAACGTGCGCTCTATTTCTCACTCTACAGAAGCTGCCTGACTTGCTGATTATTTCCAAGCACTTCTGCTTTTTTTTTTAAAAAAAAGATTCCTTTGTGTGTCGCTTTGCAATACTCCAGGAAGCCAGTGTGTGGACAATTTGCACTCCGTCGGTACAATCCGGAAACAGAACAGGACTATGCCAGGAAAATAATTAAAGTATTGTATTTTCAAATGAAATAGTAATGCTCTTTTAAAGGATAGATGTGCAATGTCTCGCGCAGAATCATCTTGTTACAAGACCCACATTATTCAGCAAATACACAGCGCCTCTTCTGTCATTTTGAGCGTGCATTAAGGCAGTTCATCAGTGCAGCCCAAAAAAAAAAAGACCTTATTTCCCAACTGTTTGTGGCGAGGATGTTTTGCAATTTCTTTCCCCGTTGCGTGTAGGCCTCACAGAATGATTTAAAATCGGTTCTCTCGTCTCTGCGCCCTTGCTCAATCTATGCAACTGCATTCCTCTCAAGGGGGCAAGATGATGCGCACACACAGGCTGCTCAGCTACCTAGGACCTGTATCTGCTGATAGGACCCGGGCTACTTAAAAGTTGCAACTCACCCCTCCCTACGTCAGTCCATCATCCCACTAAATCTTGGAGGATAAACTGAAGAGAATCAGTGACAAGCATCCTGAGGGAAGGTGGACAGCTGTACTGAGCAAGTTTTTTTGCTGTTGGTAGTGGTGGTGTGTTGGGGAGGGTGGGGGAGTTTGGGGATGAAATGCTATTCCCGCTGACATTTAATCTCCCTGGCCTGCGCTTAAACACAGCTTGGAAACGTTTTAGGAGAGGTGGGACATGCAAAAGAGAAGCTGCAATTTGTCAGGCTGTTTGGGCCCTGGGCAGAAAGAAACTTTATGTTGGTGGCGAGTTTAAGATCTGCGGGTTTAAACGCAGGTGCGAGGAGAGTTAACAGCGGCCGTCTTTTCTCAGCATGGCGAGACCAACAGTTATTACAGAGCACAACGCAGTAGCAGAAAGAAACAGGCCACTTGCAAAAATTACTCACAATCACATTCCACCCCAAAATCAGGGTGGGGAAGAATGGTCGATTCAACTTGCCTTTAAAATTTTCAAACCCAGTGATTATCTACCAATAAACATACGCTCTCTGCAGTGCTAAACCGTAGTTTCGCTATAAGCGACAAGAGCTGGACAGGTCCCCTTAAATAAATTGTAGAGGATAGAGAGAACCTTCCCTCTTGTTCACTCAGTCACACAGTCCTGATAGATTTAACTGGAAGGCTATCGAAGTCCTGTGGGAAAACACAAAAGGAGGAGAGTAGCTCAAGTGCTAGAGGTTAGGCCCCTGCCTTTTGCTTAGACGACAGTCAAGAGATTAGGAAATAATAAAGATGACAAAAAAAATTGCATGCACGCATACCCACTCTAATGTAGTATTGCACCATAATGGGAGTTTTTGAAAAAAAAAATAATCAAAAGTTCCATAATGTGCTCAGTAGTCGACTTTGTTCCTTGAGGTGTCTGATTTCTTCTTCCAGTGGACGAACCGAGTCATTTCTTGAGGTAACTGCTATCGGGGCCCCTCTGCTGTCTGCTTCACAACAAACACCCTGTCTGACATGTGCAACAAACAATTGCTGTCCGAGTCCTTGTGCTCGCCTGGCGTTCTGAGGGGAGCTGGGCACCAGTGCCCAGGGGGAAAGGCAGGCAGATCGAGCGGAGGGGTTGGGAGTGCTGGGACTGACCCTCAATCCTCAGCTGGTGGCTGCAGAGCTGAATAGACCAGAATGTAGGGGTCAGATGGCTGCCTGCCTGAAACACAAACAACACGGTCAAATGAGAGCGCGCGCGAGAGAGAGAGAGAGAGAGAGAGAGAGAGAGAGAGAGAGAGAGAGAGAGAGAGAAAAAAAAAACAACAAAACAGAGAGGGAGCGGGAGCAGGAGGTGGGGGTGGGGGGCAGAGAATGACCAGTTGACCTTCTGGATCCTGGGTGCACTTCTGCATTAATCCCATCCTCAAAAACATTATAAATAAAAGACAGCAGCAGGAGAGTCAGAGTCATACAGCATGGAAACAGACCCTTCAGTCCAACTCATACACATGCTCCCAAACTAAACTAGTCCCATTTACCTGCGTTTGGCCCAAATCCACCTTAAACCTTTCCTATCTATGTACCTGTCCAAATGTTTTTTAAAAATGTTGCAACTGAAACTGCATCAACACTTCCTCTGGCAGTTCATTCCACACACTAACCACTCTGTTTTAAAAAAAAAAAAAAAAAAAAAAAAAAAATTGCCCCTCATGTCCTTTTTAAAATCTTTCTCCTCTCACCTTAAAAAATATGGCCCCGACTTCTGAACTAACCCACCCTAGGGAAAAGACCCTTGTCATTCACCTTATGTATGCCTCTCACGATTTTATAAACCTCTATAACCTCAGCCTCCTACGCCCCAGTGAAAGCAGCCCCGGCCTAACCAGCCTCTCCTTATAACTCAAACCCTCTATTCTCGGCAACACCCTGGTAAATCTTTTCTGAACCTTCTCCAGTTTAACAATATCCTTCCTAGAACTGGACACAGTACTCCAGAAGACGCCTCACCAACGCCCTGTACAACCTCAACACGACATCCAAAATCTAGCTCCTATCCAGAAAACACATTCTCGCCCATTTGGTGCGACATTGACCAAAACTGACCACAACCATCTTCAACCGCCATCCCCAACTCTCCCGAATACCTTGTACATGGAGACTGGAGGAGGCCCGTTAGCCAGGGAAGGCTGCATCACTGTGATTACGTTGCTAGGACCATTGGATAATTCAGAGCCCCAGGCTATAATTGGGCCTGGCTGAGGATATGGGCTCAAATCCAACGACAGGGACGTTGAAATCTGAACAGATGCCAACTGTGGCTTTAAGGAGGTGTGATTTGTCCTGATTTCTTTTAGAGAGAGAGAGAGATTAGGGGAAAGAGGTGATGAGCAGTCTACGAGAAAATAAACAACTTGAGGGAGACCCTGGGATAACAAGGTGTGGAGCTGGATGAACACAGCAGGCCAGGCAGCATCAGAGGAGCAGGAAAGCTGATGTTTCGGGTCGGAACCCTTCTTCTGAAATGGGAGAAACGTGAGACCTTGGGGTTTTGTTTTTAAGTTGGAACAACAGAAGCAGCCTGAGCGGGTGTGGTCAAGCTCCCAAAAGATCCACAATTTGTAGTTAGCTTTCAGCAGATATTGCTGGGATCGCAGTGTTTCTCTCTCTCTCTCTCTGCGTTTTGCCTAACATCGAGCAGTTTGACCAATGGAATTGCATTTACAACACAGCATCTCACATTTACCTTTAAAATAAGAAAATGTTGGGTCTAGGCTACCTCCTTGATATATTTTGCAGGGGTCATAACACAGGCAAGAGTGAAGGTCGTGGTGGGGGTGGGGGGTAGTGAAATTAATACTCCACAGTCGGAATGGCAACTTGGGCGCGGGCATGTTTGGAAACCACTGAGCATGGGCAACAGCCACAGGAGAGAACGGGGAACACTTACAAAGCGGCGACGAAAGGTACAAAGCACGCCAGGGATACTGGGAGACAAAAGCACGAGCACTGCGTGTACCTACATGTGACACAGCGCCAGATATTCTGCACCGATCCACCCGCTGTCGAAAAGGCCCATCCTCCAGTGGCGATCGTGAGGCCGTAGATCAGAGGGAGGCTCAACTCGTACCGAGGGTTCAGGAACGTCTGGGAACAAAGACAGGAAAGGAGACGATAGGTCAGTTGCAGGGCTACGGCACGGAGGCAGCAAGGAACAGTTCATGCAACCCACCCCCGCCCAACACCTCAATGTGAGGGTCCTGCCCAGCCGGGCCTTTTCTGCTCGCCAAACTCCTGGAGAGCACAGGGCAGGGAACCGAGGAGCCTAACCAGCTTAGAGGTTAATGGAAAGGAAAACCACATTGAATCCCTACAGCGTGGAAGCAGGCCATTCAGCCCATTGAGTCCACATCGACCCTCTAAAGAGCATCCCACCCAGACCCACCCTATCCCCAGAACCCCGCATCTTCCCTGGCTATTCCACCCAGCCTGCACATCCCTGGGTACCATGGGCAGTTTAATGTGGCCGGTCCGCCCTGCCCGGCACATCTTTGGACCAAGTGGGGTCGCAAGATCCTGAGCTCTGGGAGCCGTGTTCCTGCTTGGACAGGCACCGCTGGTTTCTCAGCTCCCCTGCCATCCACCATGTCTCCCCCAAACAACATTCCCCTCTCCCTACACCCCAAAAAAAAAAGAAACAACCCCACAGTCCCCACCTCCACTCTCCCTGTGGGGTTGTGACAACGCTCAAAGCAGGGGGAAGCATTTTGAGAAGCACAGCTGCCACTGTGCACATCCCCTCAAACCACAGTGTTGACTGTGAAAGGGCAGGACAACTCTCCGCTCTCATCTCTCGGATCTGTATTCATCCGTTCAGCTTCACCAAGATTAATTCGATCTTTCCACCCAGCTATCTTTCTCCAATGGGAATCTCATTTGAACACAAGAATCTTGTGAATCACAAAAAGTTGGTTTGCAGGTACAGCAGCTAATTAAAGGTGGCAAATGGAATATTATCCTTCATTGCTAGAGGGATAGAGTTTAAAAAACAGGGAGGTTAGGCTGCAGCTGTATAGGGTGCTGGTAAGGCCACACCTGGAGTACTGCATACAGTTTTGGTCTCTTTACTTGAGAAAGGATGTATTGACACTAGAGGGGGTGCAGAGGACATTCACTAGGTTGGTTCCAGAGTTGAGAGGGTTGGATTAGGAGGAGAGATTGAGTAGACTGGGTCTATACTCATCGGAATTTAGAAGAAAGGGTGGGGGGGTGGGGGGAAGCTTTTGGAAACATATAAAATTACGAAGGGATTAGAAGCAGGGAGGCTGTTTCCACTGGCGGCAGAAACTAGA